TTTTTTTTTTTTTTTTTCATCTAGAGCAGAAAAGTGAATGCAGTTATCCCTACTCTGACATTTTCAAGATGAGCTTATAAAACACTCTGCTGTCCATGGGTGAGTAGAAGTTCAAGTGTCATTAAAAGTTGCACTGGAAAAAACTCTGCTTTGTTGAAGTAGTTTGTTTCAGGAAACATTACTCAATTACAAACATGACCACACCACCTTGGATGGAGCATTAAAAAGTGGAAGTACCTGTATTGAGCGCTGTCATCCTGGTCCATGTTTGTCTGTAACTTGGCAAACCAGGCGAAAAACTGCAACACAAACAGACATTGTGTGAAGCCCACACATTCCACTGTGCTACAGTGAGCCTCAGTAGTAGCTTCAGCCCTGTTTGATTTCTGACAAACACAAGTCACCTGCTGTGCAGTTTCTATCCTGTCACTCTCCATGTCCAGCATCTGGAAACCTTTGAGCAGGACGTCCTCCGTCGAGGCGGGGACAGTGGCTGTGAACGGGGACTGTAAGGACCGGGACGACAGGCTGCACAGGTCCTCAATGGGAAGCTGCACAAACCAAAACAGAGCTCAACAAGCCTTCTGGGGAGGATGCTAACTGGTTTAGCTTGACGTGGCTTGGAGCGAGTGTAAACACAAGCTGGTTAGCCTACGACTTATTATTCCCCAATACATTGACTTTAATATCTCGGTAACGTGGCAGTGGTTTGAACAAAGTTCGCCCAGAGGCAGCTTCCTCGCTAGCTTCACCTCACTTGTGTTTGGAAAGTAGGATTAGCAAAACTGTTAGCTAGCTAGCTGAGTCACATCTCACCTCGGAGGGGACCGGGAGCGTCTCGGCCGCGGCTCGGATCTCCAGCACGGAGTCCATCTGTTTCTCCGTGAGAGGGGCCGTGGCGTCGCCGCGGCGGTCCCACAACGACAGCTTCTCCCGGGTTTCCTTCTCCGTCAAGTCCAGCAGCGACTGATCCGTGGACGCCATCGTCGCGTCGGACAGCGGCAACGTCAGCAGCCACTCACAGGTACTTCCGGTCCCGGGAGCGTGGGCGGGGCTTCGAGAGGAGGCTGAACCAGAGTTCACCCCGTGGATGTAATTATAACTTTATATTA